AACGAAGATGCACGAGCTAGAATATAGAAGACTCTGTCAAGGTGTGTTACTAGGTATCCAATTCCATTGTCACTTTCATGAAAACGATCATTCCCTCGACTCAAGACGAATTCTATGCTGTGGCGTAAGTCGCTCTTCAAAGGATCCATTTCCTTCAGCAGAGAGCAAATTATAGATACCACATTAATGATTCATGTAAAAGCGTATGGAATCAAGTAATTCTTCATGTAATTTAGGTTGAATTATAGCTCCTGTTGAGTGGACGAGTCGAAACAAAACGATGAAACGACCTAATGAAATGAAACGACGAATCGATGTGGTCGATGACGAGTCGGACTTGTAAAGCGACGAGTCGAAGAGGTCAGCCGATGAGTCGAACTGACAATACGACGAAACGAACTGAAAGTTTGACGAGTCGAACCTGGAAAACAACGACTCGACATAATGAATCGACGAAACGCCATAACGAAACGACGAATCGAACATTTTGTCCAGTATCTACCTTCATAGACAACCACCGCTGCTCCTATAAATAGCGTGACTTCGCATTATTGGCTCTGTTCGATTTAGAAATAAGCGATCCAGCAAACTGTTATGTTAGAAATGACTAAATGAAAAGTGTAAGAGCCTTTTCGTCATTCAAGCTTTATCCATTGTCTTTGGAGGACGAGAATTTTTGTACAGTTTGAAGAGTTGTAAGGAATATGGATTTACGTGTTCATTTTTTCTCGGCGAATCGTTGTACTGTTGTCTTCGTATAATTTTGCATTTCGTGAATCATTTTAACTCTGAATCAAAGGAGTAAGAAGAAACAGACCCATCCAGACTATTGACAATTATTTCAGTTTTCCTTTACTTTTCAGTAATCTTTGTAATGCACCAATCAATAGAGAACTTAAGCAGTCACGATGGCAACGCCACGGAAGACGTCGATTAAAATATGAGTGTCTACTTTAGGTAGAATTTCGAAGATGGCTGCATGTGTTTACCGTCTAATAGGGCGCCAGACCTCAAACTCAACATAATGCATAAAAGTAGCGTTGAGTACCAAATGTAAATTAAAATAATTTGCTGCCACGGTTTCGGTTCGCAGACGCCGCAAATTTTGGAGATTTCACGTTGTTGTTTTGTAAAGGACGGTTAAGAAATGTACAAAGTTTTAAACGCACGAGCTGGGCTATTGTTCTGCCAATTAGATCTATTGTTTTTCCACGTTCTCGTTGCCGTCGCCGTCCTGGTTTGCTTAACCCATCAATGGCCGCAGCTTTTGTGGAAAACTGTGTTTTGAAGCTAGTCGAGCAGATTTCGGGTCACTGTTGTGGTTTTAAAAGCTCAAACTTACCAAAAACCCCTTGACAGCTCGTGCACTCGACAGCCTTTCAATCCAAATGCAAAATGGCGGCCTGAAAATCTCGGGCACGCACAGGAAGCAAAATTTTGACATAGCTTTTGGGTTGAAAAGTCATGCCCCACTTACGACTTTTACTTTTCTCTCTTTCTCCTGCCCTTTTTTTCCCCTCTCCTTGCCTGAAGTTTCTCCTCACTTGCTTGTAATTGAGTAGGCTTCATTTTGGTGTAGATATTTTTCAGAAACTACTCATCATTTTCAAAGCACATGCTCGGAAAGGTAGGTGGGTAATGAAAGACGATTTTCGTGCAGATTTTCAGGTCAAATTGACACGGTTTTTTGGCTATTCCTGTAATCTCCTTCACTCAATTGCGCTCATTCTGGTATCGTCTGTAAGATATTTTCAACCTGTTCAAGTACGTGCTCAAATGCGTGCTCCAGGGTTAAAAGTGATGATGTCACAAGGCGTAGAAAGGGTGTGGGTCCCCATGGGCGCATATGGGCGCACTGGACGTCAATAGGTTAAATTCCCTAATGTCTTGCCCCAATGGGGGGAGCCCGGGCATACACGGGCGATTGACAAAATAACCTTGCCCAGGGGAGATGCTGTAGACTTTTATTGACACAGGGCTCACCCCAGGGTAGGGTTTATTGACCATTTCGTCAGAAAAGGACTGGGAAAGAGAGAGTCGAGTTGGCATAAATTAAAATGGTGGCTTTCACGCCAACACTTGCAGCTAAATACAGGAATTGCACCGACCTGTGATTGGAAGTTAAAAATAGCATTAGTCACACTGTTGAGCTCAAGAGACTTGTAGATCACGTAGGCATTTGTGGTCGAAAGTTATGTTAGCATTAAAAATCTTTCCCTTTTTTCAAATCAGATAAACACTAACTTTTGCATTATCGATGGAAGAAAATTTTTCGCGTCAAATCTACTTCGGTAAAGGGGTAAATTTATGGCGTGGATTTCCAACCTGCCATTCATTATTCATGGTCGAAAATTCACCTCTGAAACAGCAATACTATTTGTTATCGCTTCAGTATCGAGCAGTTTTCGTTCATTAATTGACTCGCTGTGTAATATGTTCTATGTGCAAACGTTTTGCTCTTGGTGCAATACGTTTCTGTAACGCAAGTCTTAAATACAGGAATTGCACCGGCCCGATTGGTCGACCTCCATCAGTGAAAATGGAAACGCCGAACGCGATAATCTTTCTTCCTTCAGTCCAAAGCCTTTGATCTTCACTAGCGAAGTTATTTTGCCCACAGCTCCCGTTCTGAACACGCTTTTGACGCGGTGCTTTTCCTGCCTTTAATGCTTTCAACTATTAAATTCAGGAATTGCACCAGAAAGAATACTTGACTTCGGTGTCTGGAGCGGCCGCTGGCCATCGCAACTGTTGTAATGCCATACCCAAGACTGCTTGCGCGAGAACACTAGAATTGTAACGTTGTTGTGTTTACGTCATAATATTAAAATTCTCGTTTTATTTGGTCTTATCAGTGTTGATTACATGATTTAATTAATGAGATACTGCCGTTTAGAAACCTTGCACATTCTCTTTTTTCTATTTTTAACTTCCAATCACAGGTTGGTGCAATTCCTGTGTTTAGCTGCAAGTGTGCCAACTACGTCAACAGAAGTAAAAGAGGTAAGAAAAAACTTAAATACATTCAGTTTGTTTATTTTTCATTTTTTAATAGCCAGTACAATAAGTTTTCACTCAAATGTCTGCACATTCTGTGCATATATAAATAGGCAAAAAAGTTAAAGGGTGTTCTACTTTGACTTAACTACAAAAGTGGAATTGTTAAAGATTTGGTATTTAAGACATGTACACTTTATTTATAATGATTAATCAGTAATAGTTTCCTTAGAAATATACCTCTCAGTGTCCTGGTATTCCTTAGATAAATTAAGCATGTATCTTTCCTCCTTGTGAGGCGCCTATTGTCACTCTAAAAAGGCCCTCCAGAGGGGCTCATAGGCCATTGCAGAAACATGAGAGGACTGGGAAAGAGTGTGGTTGTTTTCCCTTTGTTTTAAAAACTAAGATATTCAAATGAAAGATCAACTAAATTTGAGAGTCTTAAGCAAGAATAGAAGTATTTAGAGGAGGAAAATGGCAAAATGACAGCTTTTCAAANTTTTCGTGGTAATTCATGTTATTCCTTCGTAAGGAGACAGGAACACAGTCTACCTCATCGCGACTGACATTGGAAGTGATTTCATCGTGAGTCAGACGATAGCACTTCACTACCACGATTAGTTGAACAACCGTTTTTACGATATGTAATACATTTGTAAGGAGGATTATAAAATTACTCTTCAATCTTTGTATTGAAAGGTGATTAATGGGTGGAAAGGGGAGGAATTCAAGATTTTGTCACAAAGAAGGGCTTGTATCATTCTTACTCCACAGTTTTATTATAAAGCAGAAAGATTACGCGAGAATTATTCAGCATGTAGCAATGTCAGCTCAGTGCTAAGATTAAGTGAATTATACCCTGATGTAGCGGCAACGTCGGGAAATGAAAATCGAAATACGTGACAGAATGCAGTCAGAAAAAAGAAAAAAAGAACGTCACGGTTTCCATTTTCTTTCTACACTATTTATCCAATGAAAATTGAATTGTTGGAGTTGCAAGCTGAAACTGAAGAACCAACCAACCAGACTGCCATTTGTCTTGCCATCAGGTGGCTGACCACCCTCATAATCTAGTTTTTATTTGATCACAAGCAACGAAGTCCTAACCGCCATGCACTGCTTCATTCCCCTTTTGTTTAATTTTCATTGGTTGGTAACGCTTTGCTCTTCTCATTACACATCCGGGTACAGCTCCGGCGTGAAAGAAAACCAGCCACCACGGTCAGTGAAAACAGCTAGACAGCTGGGCTATCGTGTTTGTAACTAAAAAGAAATCGGTTACTAGTCGGAATTGCGCAGGTTTTTGTAGAAGTTCAAGAAAACTTTCACAAAAGCCTATCCAACTTCACGTTGTCTGGCTTGTTGGACAACCGGTTCTGATTAATTTTACTCGCCTTTAAAGCCGTCCTCGCATGTTGAGGTCACCTGGAAAGAGAATCGTAAGTAAACGCCGTCAGATGATGTCTTCACGCAATTCATTTTACCTGGTGATTGCTTAGTGCTTGGTTGACACTGAAGTTCATATTTTAATGCAAAAAGTGCGAGGATGCTCCTTGACCTAATTTCTTCCTCTTTCATATACCCTCCATTGAAAATGGTATGTATTTCGCTGAATTACATTCTTGGGAAACTACATCTGCATATGATATCCGTATTTCGAATTTCTCGCACAGTACTGCAGATTTTATGTCAACTTGCCAAATTCCTATTCTGTGATATGCCAATGGCTTTCGGGTGAAAAAATTCCTACCCAATCATTCCCCCATCCCAGCTTATTACCCCTTTTTCTCTTGTTAACCCAAGCGGGCGAAGGGGTAAAAGAATCGAGAACTTGTTTGATACTCAACGGCAGATAACGTATTTATTCAAAATCTTGTTGCCTAAGTTTTAACCGTATTTTTTTCCTTTCTATTTGAAATTTGACGGAAGATTTTAGAATCAAAAAGCATCTTGAACTGGCTGTACGAGTTTCACAATCCTTTTGCCTTAAAGTCCAGTCTTTAGAATCGTCTTAGGTGGGTTTTAACAGTTGAGTTGACCCTATAATTTTTATTTGGAAACCGAAATCCTTTGGGAACTCTGGGAACAAATTTGAGAGTGCTGGGAACTTTCACTTTTCAAAAGATGCGTACCTAAGCGTATTTTGACTGCGGACTTACATGTACATGTCTTAAACTATGGGGTGATCTAGAAGCTCAACGTGGAGTGTCTGTCATTCTGTGGCTAGGCCGTCAGCAGGTCGGTGAGCGAAGATTCGTGAACTTTTGCAACTTTTGTTTTTTGGGCTGCTTGCGCTGTCTGCGATCTGTCTGCTGATCGAAGGTAACTGGGCTTAAAGTTTGTTCGTTTCGTAGAAAGGTTCCATGAGGAGAGATATCTTGTTCGGTACTTGTACATATTTTGGGATCATTTCGAATTTCTCTCGTGAGAAGCGTGTTTCAAATCACTGCTGGTTGGATCGCAGAATGACTTCGCATAATTTATTGGCTCTGGTCGACTTAGAAATAAGCGATCCAGCAAACTGTTATGTCAGAAATGACTGGACGAGAAGTGTAGGGGCTTTTTCGTCATTTCAGCTTTATCCAATGTTTTTGAAAGACGAGAATTTTTGTACAGTTGTAAGGAATATGGATTCACGTGATAATTTTTCCTTGGCAATTTGCTAATGGTTGTACTGTTGTCTGCGTATTTGCATTTTGTGAACGGGCAAGAAGAAACAGACCCATCCAGAATATTTAACAATTATTCCAGGAGCGCACGTTGGATATGGAATGATAGATAGCCAACGAGGCGCGTAGCGCCGAGTTGGCTATAATCATCTCATATCCAACAAGTGCGAGTGAAATAATTGTTTTATTAAAAACGCCCCCAAGAAATCATTATTTTGTAAGAAGAAACCGGATTTTTTAGCTCCCTTTGATTTTAAGCTGAAGCGTATGCTTACCATATTTGTAGATTATGGTATATTGGCTCATATACGATAATGGCTAAGCCAATAAAAGGTCTTGAATTTCATTATCCAATGATCCAGTTTTTGATAATTCTCATTATTAAAAACTAGATCATTGGATAATGCAATTCAAGACTTTTTATTGGCTTAGCCATTATGGTATATCAGCCAATATACCATAATCTACAAATATGGTAAGCGTACGTGTCAGCTTAAAATTAAAAGGGAGCTAAAAATTTAATTTAACGTTTTATTAAAAGAATTATTCCACTCGCACTTGTTGGATATGAGATGATTATAGCCAACTCGGCACTACACGCCTCGTTGGCTATCTATCGTCTCATATCCAACACGCGCTAGTGGAATAATTGTTAATTATTCCAATTTTTGAGTAATCTTTGGGATCTTATTCTAATGCAGCCTGTGATTATTTTCAAGGTTTAGTTAGAGTCATCTCGCTCAGACATGTCTGAATTAAAGATGCTAAAGAACCCAAATTAACAGAATGTGGTAAGTTTTCACATTTTACCATGTGTGGTTGGTTCCTCCAAATGTAAATATCTTGAAGTATCAGTATGTTCTTACGTGGTCACCACTCATTTGCGGTAATCAGAAAAGAATTCTCAAGTGGATGTCAAACAGAGTTTCAATTAGTGTAACTCTTTCCAAATTTGCCTTTTGGCGACCCAGATAATAAAAGGCAGTCTATAACTGCAGGTGTCTACTGTTGTAGAGTTTTAGAATATTGCAGTAAAAAAAGCATGTGGTTTAAAATGAATTTTAAAATTTTGCTGCAAGTCAAATGAACGCCAAAGCCAGGTTTTAAAATTGGTAACTCCCATCTGGAGCATTTTCAAATCTATTTTTGATTAATACTAGAAATCATGCTTAATTCCAACTTATATGTTGTTTGATATACACATCATTACAAAAACATTGTTACGGAAGAAAGTATTCAAGGAAAAATGTAAATTTTCTTTTCAAGTTCAAAAGAGTCCTTTTAAAAGTACATTTTTGAAAATGTGAGTTAATTTGAGTTAAACTACTGAGGCACATCTCCTCGTTTTATAATTTCTGGACTATTTCTTATATGTAAGATACACAAAGGTGGATTTGCAGAATGAATTCCAACATGGGTTTTCTTTTTTTCTTAACTTTCTTGGTTATTAATTTTTTTCCAGAAAAATGTATTATTACAATAAGGTGACTGTGTGTGCCATAGTGTAGCAAAATTAATTAGATTAAAATAATTAAATTTCTGCCAAGGGGAATTAACTGTTAAATAATGTTCTGTAAAACATTTGTAATTACGACTTTATCTCCATAGTTTGGACATTGGCAATAGAGATAATATTAGACTTATTGGACTTATTAGAATTTTTGTGCCTGACAAAACCCAAGATATAATTTTTTCAGTTCTTGCCATAGCAATTAACATCTCCCAATCATTTCATGGTGGCCTCTCGCAAACAAGTAATTACAAAAAAACTTATTTAGTAGAAATACCTTAATAGTTGTGTTCAGCTCATCATGAAAACTAAGAAGAAACATTTTTACTTTGAGAGAGAGCATTTCACTGTTTGAAGTTGTAAATTATGCTCCCGAAGACTGTCTATTTCATGAATATTTAACCTGATAGCTTTAAATTCTTATTTGTATTAAGTGAAGTGAAATTAATTTAGACACTGCAACTTTTATTTTAGCAACAGCACTGAATATTGAAGGTTTCCTGTGATGTCTGGACCATCAAAGGTAAAATCAGTGACTGAAAAATAAAATTATTTTGTGGAGCTGTGAGGATGAGATTTTAGTACAAGTGCAGTCAATGCCTTTGTTCTTGTAAAAGCATTTACTTTATTTATACCTTAACATGTCATTGTGTATCTTGAAACTCGCAGTTCTTTCAGACCTTGACCAAGGAGAAGCTATCCCTTGTTACAAGGATTTTAAATCATTGCAAAGTTATTCCATGAAAAACTCACATAAAGTAACTTGTATCTTGAAAGTCGCAGTTCTTTTAGACCTTGACCGAGGAGAAGCTATCCCTTGTTACAAGGATTTTTTATAATTGCAAAGCTATTCAATGAAAAACTCACAAAAAGTACCTTAAAGGAAACTAGGTTTTTCTGTCTACACTTGCTGTGGGACACTATATACAGGTGTGATTGGCGTTATTACTCCTGTACTCGTGTAGCTCTCTATCTTTGTCAGTGTATCCCTGAATGAGCATTCTTAAAGAAACATAATCATAAAGTTAGAAAGTTCTCAATCAGGAAGTTCTTCAATTTCAATAAATCATTAAACATTTAAAAGATCAGGTCATCATTTCAAAACAAAGGCTTTGTGCATGTACCTCTCTGTCTCTGACAGCCTCCTCTATCTCTAGATTTTTCACACCTTGGTGTTGCCTGCATGCCAGGCATTGTTGCTTGATCAATTGCAACATCTTCAGAAATGGGAATTGCCTTGTTTCCATTCTCTGTGCTTGTTTGTAGTAATCATGGAGGTACTCCTGGAAAGGGGTTCTCAACTGGTGTGGTGGCTGCAGGTTCTCAGGTATATCCTCTTAATCCTTCCTGCTTCCTCTCATCAACTCCTTCAGCTTGGGTGATGTGAATCCTCTTCATAAAGGAGCCCTTTTCTTTTAACATCCCCATTGGTATGCTTGGGGCCATGTTAGTGTGATCTTGAGATGCACAATACCATTCTACTTATGGTGTTCTTGGAATTCTCTTGATCAAAAGTGCAGTCCATTGTCTGCTTGATATTTAGGGGAAGATCACGCAGCTGAGGATCTCATCTAGGTTGTCAATTACTTTCATATACATATAATAATGGCCATAAGAAGTTGACAACAACTAGTATCAAGTGTTCAGATGGGAGTGGCCCTAGAATTTCTACAGCTACAACCAGTGGCATAAATGTTGAGACACCTTGAGAAAAAAGCACTTTTCCCTACTTTATCAGTTGGCCAAGAAGTAATTTAGAGCAAAGTTGTTTATGAAAGTTTTGTACCTGATACTGCTTATATCTGCTGACATTGAAAAAGGAGGAATGTGGGAACATACTATGTTGGATCATGTGGTGAAAAATGATCTCTTGTAGTGGTAGCATGTCTCAATGTACCCATTTTGCAACTGGTTGTAGGTCTCTTCAAGGACAATGTCATTGATGTCAGTGGCTCAAGCAGATTTGAACCTGCAACAAGTTGACACTCATAACAAGATTTGTAGAATTTCTCTGCTGCCTTACTGTATCTATACTAGGCCTCCATACTTTCCTTCTCAAATTTTGTTTTGTTCGAAGAATTCCTATCTGTACTGTAAATGTCCATCATGGGCTAAGGCAATCGTTTTGGGCCTAAGCTTGCTAGGTAGCACATTAGGGGTACCTCATAGGACTAGTTGCCCAACTACACACAGCTCAGCAGCAGCTGGTGCACAAGTCTTGTAAACAAATAGGATTTGGAATGGGATTCATAGATCACTTCCAGTTTGGGAGCAGTAATCAGATCAAATCTTATTTCATAAATGTAGGCATGGTACCTCTTGCATGCACAGAAAAGGGCTATAGGGTTTCTCTCTCTATTTGGGAGTATTTGCATTCACACACTGAGGCTGTGGCTTTCATAGCAAATATTAGCATTCTTGTCAAAGTATACCAATGTTTCTGCTTCAGCCAAGCTCTGCTTTAGCACCCCAAAGGGGGGCCTTTTGCTCAGGTCCAAAGTGGAATGGAACAGTTCTGTTAGAGTCGCAAAAATTATCGGGAATAAATCTGCTGTAGCTGAAATATACCAATCCTGTGAAGCTTTTCACTTAACTGACTGTTGCAGGCTCCCCTATTTCTGGCAAAGTTTGAATTCTTTGTTCTGTTGGGCTGATTCCCTTTTCAAGCAGAAGAATTCCCTTGAAAACCAATCTGTCATCATTGAACAGGTATTTGTCAACACTGAGAGTCAAACTATGCTGTCTGAAGGAGTCCATGGTTGTGTGAAGGCCCTGGTTAGGAGTTGTCTGATATGGGCCATGTACAATAATGTCATCAGAGATATTGACAATCTCTAATTTCCTTGCCAAGATGAGATGTATGTTTTACTTTGGTACAGCCCACTTGCTGACCTCACACCAAACAAAGGGCATTTTTATCTGACTGTACAACTCTTTGTTTGTCACAAAGATAATTATCTCATGTGAATCTGCCCTTTAGGTAAGGTCCTGCTGGTGTTATCCCCACTTTAAATCTAGGTTGTTAAAAAACATCTTTGAGCCATTCATGTTGTGTAGCAGCCCATGTATTCTACTGTTGGTAGGGGGTACCAACCATGTATTACAGCCTCACTGCATATCAGTACAGAGCAAATGTCACCATCTGATTTTGGAGTAATTATTGCTGGGTTCACCCATGGTATAGGACTGTTGACTTCTTCTATGTACAATAGTTCATGAACTTTCCTTTCCCCTTTGTCATACAAATTGAAGGGAGTTTGCCTCAGTGGTTGTGTGACTGTTTTTACTGATGGCTGGGTTGTGACAATGTGTTTTGTTCTTAGCCAAGACACTTTACTCTCACAGTGCCTCTCTTCACTCAGGTGTTTAAATGGGTACTGGCAAATTTAATACTGGGGGGGGGGTAGCCCATGATGGACTAGCATCCTATCCAAGGGGTAGTAGAAATACCCCCAGTCCTTTCATGCTATGAAAACCAGAGTTAAGTGCCGACGTGATGGGCACTTGGCTCATAAACAGATTTTACCCCCTTTACTGCTGGGTTCACCCATGGTGTAGAACTACTGATTTCTTCCTTGAGGTCTTGGTACGATAGTTTTTAAAACTTTCCTTTCCAGTTTGTCTTGCAAATTGAAGTGCAACTGGTTTCACTGAAGTCTTGTTTAGGCTTCACCATTTGAATCCCATTAAACACATGGGAATTGCTCTTGCAGAATCCGTTCATCACAGCAACTGTAACAATGGAGATTGCTATTTTCTACAGACCCAAATTGCCTTCTTTTGTTGTATTTGGTGACATTTCTGATGGGCAAAAGCTGAGTTGACTTTGGTGGTGTTTGCAAATGTGGAGAAGGTGTCTTGTACATCTGGGCCTGTTAAATGGAGTAGCATAACTTTTTTCCATTGTCCCATGGTTGCATATTATCTTCATTGATATTTAGACCTTTACCATCTGCAAATAATTTTATCGTGGTCCCAATATAGTGGGCTCCAAGTGACAATCAACCTTTGCTATTGCCTTTGAACCTCCACCTTTGTTCCAAGACATCTTGTGTGGTGCTTAAGCCATGCTTATGATGTTTTTTATATCTTCATTGCCAGTGTTGTGCTCCCTTGCTATGTAAATAACTGATGAACAATACAAATTGCGCACCAACAAGTTGACCATGTGGTTATAAGTTTTTTCTCTCTCCATGCTCATAATTTGCCATTGTTACTTAATGCATGACAGAAATATATTTTATTATGACTTTTCATTTGTTATAGAATCTTTATTATTATGCAATAAGGAGAGCTATTCTAAGTCTGTGCTGTTTTGCTTTTCAAGGATTTTGCCTCTCCAAGTGAAGACTCTACATCACACAAAGGTCAGCAGAACAGGAGACTGAAAGTCACTTTGCTGAGTAGTGAGTGGAGATCATCAACTGATAGAGAAGTTTCCACCATCGTTAGAGCACTTGCTGTACAGTTAGCCAAGTATCCTAATGTGGAAGTTAGTGTGTTTCTTCCTGAGTGCAGCGAAGAGGACAGGAGAAATGCTACAAGTCTCAAAATTCAGCTGATTGAAGCTGATAAACTGTCTGGCTTTGAACCAATTCTTTGGTTGTTGTCTTTGCCCAGAAACCATGATGTAGACTGTGCCATAGGTCATGGGGTGCATCTTGGCAGACAAATTCAACTCATAAAGAGGAATAAAGACTGTAGATGGATTCAAGTTGTTCACAGTGTTCATGAAGAAGAGGGAATGTACAAGGACATTTTCGAAGGAGAACGACTGCAACAAACAGAAGTAGAACTTTGTCAGATGGCGGATGAGGTTGTAGCAATTGGACCCAAAGTGGCAGAGGCCTACACACGCTACCTTAGTTTTGCTAAAGAAGAAGAAACCATTTTAGATCTCACCCCAGGTGTCTTCTCAGAATTTTTTAATGTAGTGCAAGCCACTGATGAAAGGAAAACATTCTGTGTTTTAGTGATTGGAAGTGGTGACAGCTGCAAAGATTTCAATGTTAAGGGATTCAACATGGCTGCTGAAGCAATCCCTGAGTTAAAAGATCCATCCTACAAACTGAAGTTTCTATATTCACCTAAAGAAAAAGGGGAAGAAATAGCAGAAAAGTTGCTTCAGCATGGCATCAGTCGTAATCAACTAATTGTTCGCAACCTTGATGACAACAGAGAAGCATTAGCCAACCTGTTCCGTGAGGTGGATCTTGCCATAATGCCATCAAGGACTGAAGGTTTTGGATTGCCTGGTCTTGAAGCCTTATCTGCTGGACTTCCTGTACTTGTCAGTGGTAATTCAGGACTAATGGAGAAGCTTTGAAGGAAGTGCTTTTAGGCTCGCAGTGTGTCATAGACTCAGAAGATCCAAAAGATTGGGCAAAAGAAATCAGAGATGTGAGGCAAAAACGTAGGAGAGTTCGCCTTTCAGAAGCAAAGCTTCTTCGGGAACATTATGCAGAAAAGTATGACTGGGAGAAGCCTTGTACTGTCCTTGTGAAAAAGATGGAGACACTTGCATTTGGTAAAAGTTTTCCTTCACAGTAACAATTTTATGCTGTTACAATTATTAAACAGGGAATTGATATCATTTTCAACGTACTAGTTTGGCATGAAAGTTTGATTGATCTCTGTCATTTATTAGATAGTGGCTCTTTTGATAATTATAGGGCACATCCTTATTTGGTCATTAGTATATGTAGTCACATATAAGATTGATATTTTTTT